AAAAAAAAAAAAAAGAAAAGAAAAATCATTATTAGTTATTTGAGTTTCCTTCAAAAAATACTTATTTATTGCCGATATCACTTAAGTGAAGAATGAAAAGATAAATCATTTACCTGTTCACACACATCCTCTGAATATATAACATTTATTTTATTTAACGACCCTTCTATAATTACGACAACCTATGTACCTACCACAGTGGCCACATTCAGGAAAGGCGTCCGAGCCGTTCAAATGGTAGGACGTGCAAGTACGTATTAATTTCATGTGACACTCATTATCCCTAAAACGAACGTAAGCAAATCAATGTATATCACGATAATCACCATAAACACCATAAACACCATGAACACCCCTAACCAAACCATCAATCCATAAACCTCGCTATCATTTTCTTTCTCTTTCTCTCTCTCTCTCTCTCTCTCTCTCTGTCTCTTCCTAGTTACTCCTTCAATTTATTTTCTCATCAATACATTCCCAGATTTCATTTCTCTTTTTATGTGTATCATCCTCTTCATAAATTCTTTATTTACACAAATTTTTATCTCCGAACATTCTCTCAACATCCGCCATCCGCCATCCGCCATCCGCCATCCGCCATCCATCAACCCATCCGCCGCCCCTCTTATGACATAAATAGCTATTAACTGCAGTAACTTCAATTTCATTTTCTAAATTTATTATTAAGTTTGTAGATGTGTCGTCTATTTAAATGTCTTTTTCATTCATACTTTTATACAAAGTCTTTGATGTGTTTTTTAAATAATTTTCCATTTATTCTTTCATGTAAACACAACTTCCCACAAACTCATATATACATATACATGTATCTCCTCTAACCTACATAGCAAGGCAAGTGTACATCTTATACACTGAAGGTAGCCAGAGAAAGAAAACGATCGTCATTAAGAAAACTACGGATACCTATCAACTATTTCTTAAGTTTCTTATTTAGTTACCCTTTTACTCATCATTCTTCTCGTTGTCTACGTTATGAGTGCATATTGCAATAATTTCATAAAAACTCTTTGGCTTTTCAGTCTTTAATACTCGTCATGGGAAAAATGTTAATATTCTGTGTTATGCGAATATACTCGACTTAGCTCGCATTCTTCGCGCTTTTATTTTAGATTGAACGTTAAACTGTCTCGATCTCATAGATGCAAACAAAAAACTCTGTTCGTCTTAGGACAACGCATTGCATGCACTTGGCATCTAAGACATATTCCAGTGCGTAAAATCTGAATTTTTCTCAACTACGACGCGGGCCAGTAACCAATCATTTGACAATGTATTCAGGCTTTATTTGCTTTTTTAAAGTGTTTTAATTAATGTGGTTGTATTTTATGGGCGGGTCACTACCATTTTCCTTAATCTCAGCCGCCTTCGTTTGCCTTACGCTCATAACAGGCAGGGAATTTAAACGAAAAGAGGATCAACACAAATTTAAAGGTAATCATGAGCATCTTATGTAATATTTTCGATGAAAGGCGATATCCATCCTTCAATGCTAAACAAAAGCTTGCTTGAAGAATGCGTGCTTCAATCTTTCGCGCTTTGTGCACTAATTCACTTGATTTGTCCGTCCAGATAACGTTCGAGAATTTGAATCACACACAAGAGAATCCTTTCATAAACGGTTTATAATATAGTTCGTGTTTAAATGCCATTCACTAGTAAAGGGCAGGAAAATGACTGAACCCCAATTAAAATGCTCAACAAACGTTTTCGTCGCTTATTAATCATCTATCTTTCGCTTGAACACTTCATATACTCATTCATAGCAACTCGTAGCACTCGGTTAAATAGTCTCTTAGTGTGAGATCTACTGCGTCTCAGTGTACTAATGTTCTCTTCACGCATTTCTTGCGCAGTTTACTAGCCATCTGTAGTTCTTAACTTTCATAGTCCGTGATGTCGAGTTAATTCAGTCTATGATTCCTTGGCTTTGTTGCACCTCTCCACTCATAATTGATTCATGTATGTGTTTTGCTTAAGTTTACAAAGCAGATGTGAAAAGTCGTCATCTGTCAACAATTACGAACCTGGAGCAAGTAGCAGAAATCTATTAACAATTTTTTTTTTTTTTTTTGTGATTTATTGATACGATAGACTTTGTATTTTTTGGTAGAAGACGTACTGACTACTTTCTGTTAATGGATATTGAAAAATCGCCGTGCGGCACCGTGCGGCAACTTCAAGTATATACATACGGACTCGATATTTTTACCATTAAAAGATCATCATGTAGACGCTTGTGCACACGTTCGTGTTTTTGTTTTTTTATGAAGTTTTCATTTCCGATAATCAATGGTAATTCATCGTAAATTTAACTGACGACTTTCCTAAGCACTAGTATTTAGCAAATTTCACGCATCTGTCAATAAATTACTTAACATTCACAAGGGCATTAAAATCTCTATCATATCATAATACGTATAAGCTTTTATTAAATTTTCGAAAAATGACTTAAATCCGTATGCCTACACATATATATATATATATATGTATATATATACATATATAGAAGTCACTTGACTAAGAAAGAATTTACATTTTCAAAGCAAAAGAAAAGGAGAAGGAAGAAAAGGAAGACGATAACGCAACGTCTAGAAACATCTGTTCGTTTATTCGTAGAAAATAAACTGAAATATTTTACGATCGTCGCTCACAGTTTAAGGACAAATTTTTCTGCTTTTTTTAGAAAAAAATATTTTTCCTCAACATCGAGCGGTCTTCAGAATTACTCCCATAGTTTTTTGTAACTGTGGCACGCAAGTAACCGTGGTATGTGACCAGATATATATAATTTCGGATATTCCCATTTAGTGTCCAAGTCATCTTGGAGTAACAGATGTGGAATAGCAAGCAGTAAATGATTTTTTGAGAGAAAGTTCATGAGATGGATGAAATCCGCATCTTCTGCTCATATGAATTTGTCATTGACCTGAGCAGCAGCTTTCAGTTGTGTCCCTTAATTACTTCAAAATGATTTCCAAAAGCTTTTGTATGCAGGAAAACTCTTCACGTGAACTGGTCTTCATTGCGGTCTAACCCTACGATCGAAAACCACATAGACTTGTATACTTGTTTACATATGTATATATATGTATGATAACATCTACCGACGTATCCGATGTAAACTTCCGCAAGTATAGAAATGAAAAAAAGTGGAAACGAAGTTGTAGATAAGTTCAAGGGGACTTAGCGCAGCGGTTTTCAATCTTTACACAAACTACACGTACTTGGATATAAGTTTTTGTGGCGTGTTTGCTTTACACGATACCAGTTTTCCTACCAAGCGGATCTCCAGACAAAATTCAGATTCGTCAGATAATAATAGTTCGGTTCATTAGTAAGGGCTGCGTATGCGTTGAGAAATCCGCACTAATAGAAATAAATCCTTTCGTGAGGCAAGTGACTCTAGTAATGAAAAGAAATCTTTTGTTTCTTATATAAACATAAATAGTCATCAGTTTTGCGTAAAAAGTTATAATAAAAAATTGTAGCATCATCTATGTAAACATATATATATATATACATATATATATATATATATATACATATATATATATAAATTTAAAATAAAAGGAAGACAACGAGTACTGGATATTTATCTCCCCCGCGGACGAACTATTCGTAACCAGAGCGGATTCTTTACTTTATTTTTTTGTCAAAAGGCGTGTGCTATACCAACTCCGACGACTTTCTAATGACATAATCGTATCGTGAATGAAATTTATACATTTCTTTTTTTTTATACATTTCTGCAAACGTTTTATAAAGAGACTATGTTCGCCCAAAAATTTTCACTTTGTCCAATGAAGAAACTGTTACGATTCCATTGACGTAGTTGAGACGAAATCAATCTTATCAGGTAGAAGTTGACTTTTTATGTGAGAACTAAGGTTTATATTAATTGCGACGAAATTATTTAGTAAATCTTTCATACGAATATTTTGCATTTTTACGGACCTATTTCATCCATTAGAATATCCGGAGTAACGCATTATAAAAAGAATTAATTTTTTTATTGACTGCATTAAGATGAAAAGTAAAAATATGTTTAGATGGATGTTAATTGAGACAAACGGTAATTGCTTTTTTTAGTTATCCAATATTTAAAAACAACTACAGCACACACTTACACATTTACAAATACATAATTTATTACGCATACTTTTAAGAAAAGTTAAATTTATTCTCTTCTCATTAGTAAAAGTAGCTTAATATGTGTGACGAGGAATATACAAAAAAAAAGTCTCAGTTGTAATGTAAAAAAAATTTGAAAAAGTTTAATATTTTTTTTTTTTTTTTTATTTTTTTTTATGAAAAACTGTAGATATTATTAATTAAATTATTAAAAAAAGTACTAACACGAATAAAAAAATTTATAATAATTGTAATGTTAAAAGTAATGAACTCAATATGCATTTCTCTTACACGCATGTCGCACTTGGCTTTTCTCCTCATTATTTTCGTTCAGCTTTCATGTGAATTATTACAGCTTATGCGTATATATTTATATGGGTGTATATGTAAATACGAGTGTATACATACAAATATATGCAGGAAAGGGAAAAGCATGCTATATATAATATTGCGTCAGATGCATGCAGGCATTTTCTTAAATATATATATATATACATATACATATAAATATTTGAGCATGTATACATATTAATTGAAAGTTTTGTTTTCCAAGCTCCTGCCATGGATGTATATTGTATATACACGTTGTTTGTATGTTTTAAAACCCATAATTGTTTTTTTTTTTTTTTTTTTTTTTTTTCTTATGTTGAACCTTTTCTTTCGAACAGTGATCATTATTTTGAGGAACATATCGCTATTTGACTATGTGTTGGTTTTTTTATAGCGAATTTTGTAAAGTGTCGCGGGCAGGGGGATTTCTAGAGAAATCGAAAATTCCCGGTCAAACAAGTGTGAGCATTATCTTCAAATATCAATCTGTAATGTAGCTTGTTAACCAGTTAAATGTTTGAATCTCTTTAGCATTAGATTCGCGTACCCAACAAACATAGAATATGTGGGACATGAAATTAAGTTGTAATAAAACAATTCGGCAAAGTGATAAAAATATTTTCTAAAATTCATTCAAAGACACTTTTCTAATAACAAAAACAAAATTTTATGAGGAAATGCAACAAGGACGGATGGACGGATCATGGCGTATGTACTGGTCGTACAAAGTTAATTGATTAAAAAGCATTTTACACATCATTAGTTAGGTCTCCGAGAAGTACTTCTACTTATTGTAAACAAAGTCACAAAATTCGAAATGATAAGCGGATATAATGCGAAGAAAAAGAGCAAAGCCCTGTAAGCCTCACATCTATCTGTGCGAGTAGAGAAAGGCATTCAAGTTTTTTTCTTGAAATATTGTAGGAATTATACATAATAGGATATTAAATTTATATAGAAGTCCTTCTTCAAGGTCCATAGCGCGATAATGAAAAAATAGAGAACAACAACCAACACATTGTGAAATGTTCGGCCTTTTTCATTCACATCCCTTTTATTATCCTGTTTTATTAATTATTAGTATTCATTTATAAATTTTACTCCGTTAAAAAAATAAATCGAATTTATCCGAAATAAAATATATATATATACATATATTGAATTACATAACAAAAAAAAAAAAAAAAAAACAAAAAAAAAAAAATTAATAAATAAAAATGAAAGTGTGCTGATCATGGAAAAATATCTTACAGATGATCACCATCCTGCACCCACATTTACGCCACCTGAACTCCCGAAAAGGGTGCATGTGCGTCGATCAATAACGGGTAAAGAAATTATCTAATTAAAAAAAAAAAAAAAAAACAAAAGTAAGAAAACTGTTTTCGTCTTGAGTCGAATCTTGTATACCCACTACCTAGGTTTCTGTATTTCTCTACTACGCACGTTCTTCATCCATAAAAAAGTGTAAAAATAAACTCAAATCTTTTGTTTTAAGTCAGATTCATATCCGAAATGATTTTTAAGTTATACGCGAAATTATTTCAAAAGTTATGTTTTGAAAACAAGTTAACTCCGATTCAAGACATCTCGAGCAAAGTATAAAAGGCATTGACAGCAATGGATGTAATTTAGCAATCAAGATAATCCGTGTTCTCAGTCTAGCGTTTGTAGCGAATGTCTATTACTTCAGATAGTCGTTTGGTAAGTGCCGAAGCGTTAGAAGGTCTATCGAACGTCCTGATATATAAATTCAAGATTTATATCTATCTTCATGTTTAGCTTTGATACTCATAGGTGGATTTCTTTGGATTTCAAAATCCAAATTCAGTGAAGATTGTATGTATGTAACAGATTTGAATTTTCTATGTCGAACTTATTGCCAGTAGGAGATGAAGAGCTAAACAGACGGACATAATTAACTCAACTTTGAATCGCACACCAACTAATATATGTAAAAGCTGGCTGGTTGTCTAAGCAATGCTTTTGGATGTCACTTAATAAAATTTCGAAGGGACCATTGCTTCGGTAGTGGGTATAAAAATATGTTTACTCTGTGTTATATATTCAGATTTGAAAGCATACTTAGCAGCATTTTGGTACCCATCGGTAGTGGGTATAAAAGAGAAAAAAACATTTTTTTGGTATTTTGGGTCTTCTTCTCAGGCATCAGCTTTTCAAAAAATTATTGACAAATAAATATATTCCGATTTCCTTTTCTGTGTTTGTGCTTCTTTTTTTAATACATTCGTTTCGCTTTTTTATACCATACTTTAATATATATATGTGTGTGTGTTTTATAATTTTATTGTACATATACATACTTTATCTTATCTAAAAATGTTTTTCTTTTTATAAAAATTAATGCAATTACGCAGCAACGGTAAAGCATTTTACATGACTTTTAAAAAAAAATATACACAATTACAAATTATTTAATGAGTGTGTGTGTGTATGGTAAAATAAGGCAATGTATAGCATGCTTTTTTAATTGTACTCCTTACGAGGAACGCCAACCAGATTACTTCAAATATGACTTAATATATATATATATATATATATAGAGATATAAACGTCAAGGCGTGCAATGGAATGAATGCCTTTTAATATCAAAGAAAAAATTTATATATATATTATGGCTTTCATTACGAAAGCCATGATTAGTCTGGGTAGACTAGTACTAGTTGAACTACTAATTAACTACGCATACCCTTCTTCTCCATTCGCATTCATTTCTCTTCACCTCTCTCTTTATTCACATTAACACGAGTATTTCTCAAGTCTTGGGCATGGGATATAAGAGGGTTTTAAATTTGGAGCTTTGCTCGTATGTAATAGTAGTAGTCTGTGTACTGATTTACGAAAGCAAGTGATTTTTAATTTTCCCAATCTCCTTAGCTTATTGTTAACACCAACAACTTTTCACTAATTTTAAAGGGTGAACGGGAATGGAATTTAAAAGAAAGCTTGATTTTGGCTGAATGCAGCTGAGTATGAGTGAAAAGGTTTTTCTGGTTTGCTTTCCATATAAATTTCCCACCAATTATTCATAAATAATTTGATATGAATTTTTTTTATTAATTTTCACGTTTTGTTTATTTGGCGATTTTATATTTTCAATTTCTTTTTTTTTTATGGCCGTAAAATGATTTTGATTTTCCCCACTTTTTTGTTAAAACGCTAAAATATGTATAATTAAACAAAATTAATTAATTAATAAAATTAAGATAGTTTGCGTTGGGAAACGGCTTGTTTTTTGATTTTTGCTTTTGTTTTTGTTATTATGCAAACACAATATTCTGTTTATATATATCTATATATATATATATATATATATATATATTTCTTTACTTGTATTGGTCTAATCTTTACCACAAATCCGATCCTTTTCTATTCTACTTTAAATCTAATAACTATGTTGACACTGATCAAAAAAATCAATTCAAGTGGTAGGGTGTGTGTTTTTATAAACTTCTATGCTTGTCTATTAAAATTTTCAAATTAAAATTGAGCTTACACTAGAATATAAATATTACCCAAAACTAACTAATCAGATACAATATGTTTTTTTTTTTTTTTTTTTTTTTAAATCCATTCAGTTACTTTATTAAACGTCTTTGTCATACTTTTTTTTTCGTTTACTCTCCCATCGGTAGCTGAGAACACGCGAGATCGTGAAGACATGAATTGTAAGTACACACATAAGAAAAGTCTTAACTAATTTTAGTATTAATGGAAATAAAAAGATTATAGCGTGGCATGGCTGATCGATCGTGGTCGAAAAAGTGTCCCCGTCCGAATCATTTTCAATAGCGTTCGTGTTTGAGTGAAGACGAAAACTCGGTTCATTAAAATCTCTTAAAAGTTGCGACAAGAATACTAGACAGACAGTCAGATGGACAGATAAGCTTGGATTGCTTCAAAAAGTGTTTATTTAGATGAAAAGTAGATATGTCTGAAGTCCTTCTGGGTGTTGCATACACATTTGGTATACGTAATATGCCAAAGGGACTTGTAAAAGCGTCCGATTGTTGGTCTTTTGAAACTCAACAGATTTCCGACTGTCGTGCTTATGCGATTTATTTTCCCCATTAAAAAAAATTAAAACTTATTTATCTTCGGATTGATCTTCTAGCGGAGAACATTGAAATATGCATTATATATATATATTTTTTTTTTCTATTTACTTTTCTTAGTATTAAATCCTCATAGCCGTCGAACTAATGGTACAAGTAATGGAGCGACTGGCTTGCATATGAATGCCGCTGCACCCAAACAGGTCAATAAAGTCAAACCCACAGTGACACGACAACTCGATGGGCAAATGATGTCCCCTTCGCAATACAACCGGTAAGTTGTAAAGAAGAAATTCTAATAGAACAAGAAAAAAAAAAAAAAGAAAAAAAGTAAACAATAGATGGTAACTCAGTAATTCTGATATGTCTCGTTTGTAATGCCCAGACATAGCTGTCTTAACGACCGGAATCAATGAGATAGAACACTGGAACTGGAGACTTGCATATCGTCCAATTGAAATTGTCTATTAATAAATTTTTTTTGGTACAAAGTGCTTTCGATCGGGCAAATGAAGGTACACGCGAATACAAGCGAATACAAAAGAAAATATCGAATTTTTATAGGTTTTTTCAGATAGCGGGTGCTCAAGATTCCCTTTAAAGAGAAAAGACATTCGCCTTGCTTGCTTTATACTCAAGGAAGCAGTATGTAGAAGATGTAGATTGTTTTTTATTAAGTGTTAAATATTTATATAAAAAAAAATCGAAAGATCTTAGTATTAAGGAAACGCTGATCTCAGCTACAGTCAATGCCGGATTTGCATTTTATACTAAACGGTCAAGGTCCCCGTATTTTAATCACATTTTCAACCTCTGATGTGATTGATAGTACGGGAATAATTCGGCGCATCTTAGTGTGACAGACAGACAGACGAGTCAAATTGAAAAAAAAAATTTTTTTTTTTCTTTTTGTATACAAGAAGAATATATAGGACGTCGTTGTATCTCCGAGACAAACTCGAGGTAAAATGGAAACTTAGCAATGTTGGAGTGCAGTTCCACAAGGGGCAAGCGCCAGGACGAAAAATTTGCGATTTGATTAATTTTATCGTTTTATGAACTTTGATAAATCAGGACTGGAAACATTGAATAAAACAAATTGTTGTGTAACACAAACAAGTGTAGATTGACTACAACCAAATAATCTCCACTCGAACTAATAAATAAATGTAAGCCGTGGAGCAATTCAAACTTTTCACATAGATTCAATTTAGTGGGGCATTTACCAAAAATTAAAAGGAATTTTTCGACAAAATATGGAAATTTCAATAAACCATCGCCGGTAATCAGCATTCGATACATATATATTAGAAAAATTTTAAAAATATCGCCTTTCTATTTCTTTCTCCTTCTTTCCTTTCTCCTTTTTTATAAACCATCGTTTGCTCAATTTTCCTAATTAAAGGTTTTTTGTCTTAAACTACATATGCAACATATATTTCTACTCGTCGATTTATGACTACTGGTAAATTCGATGTGCTAAGAATATATATATATATATATGTTGGAAAATTCTTTGTGTTTTGATTTTTCTTGATAAAGTTCACAAAATGGGAATAACGTAAAATGCTATCAAATGCAGGCATAAGAAATGAATTAATATCTTGCTGCATTTATCCGCAGCATATATAAGTTTTTTATATATATATTTTTTTATTATTTTTTTTTTAAATGGACTAGTGCATATAGTTTTGTTGATAATACGAACCCGTCACCCGTGCTGTTTAAGACAGAAATTAGACAAGAGACACCTTATGATAGTCTATTAAGAAAGAATTTGAAAATTGATATCGCAAAGGCCATCGAGTTAAGGAAATCGCTAAATCTCTTATCTTTTTTTTCATTTTCGTATGTCTTTTTTGTTTTTTTTTTTTTTTTTTCTTTTTTTTTGTTTGTCTAACCAACTTCATACTAAACAAGAGTATCAAAACCGATGTGAATGGTTATGAAATGAAACAAAGAAAAAAAAAAAAAAAAATTAAATAACAATTAAAAAAAAGAAAGTTCTTAAACAAGGAATGCCTTCTCTAAATTAACAAATTTTGTTTCAGGCCTTCCGAAAATGAAGCTACTAATCCTTACGCGGGCTATCAACTTGCTTACGAAGTTAAAAAGCTCATGTATGCGTCCATATTTTAACTTAAACTCTCTTAAATTCATAATTTACTCTTTCGCTATCTCACAATTACTAACTAAAACTAAAACTTCAGCATACGAAATAGTTATGTACTGTACTGTTATTGTTACTACATTTATTAATACTGCAACTGTAACTCTTATTATCGTATTTCTCTCTCTCTATTCCTCTCTCTCTCTCTCTTTAAATATATATATATATATATATATATA